TATGACTTGATTCTTGAATTTTGGATATGATGTTGAAATCTGAAATTGGTTGAGTAATTACATAATCGATATAGATCTTGAGTTTTTATTCGGTAAATTGATGTTGATTTTTGAACACTGAATTTTAGATCTAATATTGATTATGGAATTTTGATGAGAATTAAGTTGTAAATTCATGAGTTAATGCAACTTTTCGATCGATTTGTGGATGAATTCAATTTTTTGAAATTAAAACTTCAAATCTGATAAGTTGCATTAACACTTGAGTTGTGTTGTTTTTGGCCCGAATTATGTGGACTTTATTCATTTGTAAAATGCTTATAGTTTCTAAGCGACGATACATGAGCCGGTAAACGCTTTTGCATCCGTTTATGAGTTTTTAATACTGGTATATGGAGACGTTGCTGCCCGGGAACTACAAGTTCCTTGCAAATGGATTCTAAAATGTTGTTTAATGCATATTCATGCTTGCTAGCACGTTTGTGGACTATTACCGTTGAATTTTACCGTTTCTGGCACAGTTTTCCAAGCAATTCTTTGGCACGGTGCAATGCTGCCCGGTTATGGTAAGTTGAGCATAAGGAGACATTTCTTTTATGGTTAATGCTCATGGTACTTGGTTTTGGTATGTAGGCAACATTTATGCCAGGTTTTCTCGATTTTAGATCAAACTTTCATGCGGTTTATGTTTTAGCGGTGCTGTTGCTCGGGAATGGTAAATAGCACTTACGAGATGATTTAATTCACGGTGATTGCTTATGTGAACTTCTTGGTAAGTTTGGTAGACACCGGTACTGTTTTGGAGTGGTTTTATACCAACTTTTATGCACTCATGTTTATGATGCGATGCTTATCAGAGTTTACATTTATGGTTTCAATGTGCATTTAATTTCAAATTCTTTATGATTTAATCATAAATTGAATTATGTTGAGGGTGCATAACTCCGATTTCACTTCTTGGTTATCTTTAACGTGTTTGTTGACTTGTGCAAGGTACTTTGAGAGCTTTCGATCATTTAATTAATGCATTGATTATTCGATCGAAAAGCATAATGTACCACTTTATTTGTGGATTTGTGGATTCGCTTCCGACGCGATTTACTTTGATTCTCATTTCATAAGAAATATGCATTGTATGTGTTTTTGTCTGGATGTGAATTTGTGTGCAGGTGTTCTGTTTATTGTAGATGTGTTTGACACGTATTCCCATTGTGCTTTATTGACGGATGCACATTCTGACTATTATGTTGTTGATGCTAGCTTGCGTGAAGTTTTCCAGAGTATTTCTGCTTTTGCTTGCTACGAACTCTTGTTTGTTTGGTATTACACTGATACTAGTTTATGTTTTTGCATCACTTACTAATTTTCCTTGGCATGAGAAGTAGGATAGAGATGTAACTTTTGGGAGTCTCTTTGAGGAAAATTTAGTTTATTTAAAGACCTATTTAAGGAAATTTTACTTGTGCTTGTTTGTTTTCCATTTTGTGTGTTTACATTTGTGCCAAAGATCTTGATGAAGGAGTCTCATTCCCATTCCCCATTGATAAGTCCTCAAAGAAGGCAAGGCGACAGAGGGTCCGTAATTGACCCCACCATTTCTTGTCTGTGTCGTTCGTAGCACGTGTCGTGCATTGATGCTTTGAATTGTGTTGCTCATGTTATCGAGTCGGTCAAATGGAAATGGATCTGTAACCAATCCCCCACATTTTGTCTTTAGCTCGCGTTTGTGAAATGTTGACGCTTTGGCGTGATCTCATTACTACCTTCTATCTCCTACCTCGATTCATGATATCTTGGTCAGGTGCTTAGTCGCTTATGATGATTCACTTTTGTTCTTCTCTTGCCTCGATTAATTGATATCTTGGTTATGAGTCGATACCCCTTTCTTTCTTACCCCTGATGATTTGATATCACAGTTAAGAACCACTACTCCCCCATTTTTGCTTGCCTTGATGAGTAGATATCTTAGCAAAAAATCCCTTTATCCTACCTTGATGATTAAATATCACGGTTAGGTGCCCTATTTCCTTTGTCCTGCCTCGATGATATGATATTGTGGTTCGGTCTCCCTCTCCTTATCCTATCTTGGTGCCATGATACTTCGATTAGGTGTGTGCTACTGGAGCGAGTGGAAGATCCTCAAGCTTTGTTTGTTTCTTTTGGCTCATCTTTGCTTGTTAGCACCTTGTGCTTTTGTTTTTATTTAGGTTTTGAACCTTTGTCATGTTCCCTTAGGATCTCTCGATTCTACCTTTGGTAGCCATTCGAGGTAGACATTAGGATTGTGATCCATGCATACTAACTTAGTTATAGGTTCCCCTTTTATCATTGACATCAGGGCGATCATTGTATGATAACATTAGGGATTAGATTTATGATAGTTCCCCTTATACTTTTCTTCCCTTTTTGAATCCTTAAGACTAAAACATTTTTCTTGGCAAATGCATAAAACATTTAAAACTTCTCAAATCCATTTTTCAAGGTAAAAAACACTAACCAATGCAAATATTTTTGTCTTCGAACTTTCTTTTCTCTTTTAAAAGCTTTTCAATAAGGATGTGTTGTTTCAAATTCGAGCAACTTAAAAATACTAAGTGTGTGAGAGGTCGAGCATGAGTCTCTTTACAAACTGCAAAGCCAAGCACGAGTTACAATCCTAACCGTAAGGATGCGAATGCAGCATTATCCATAAAAGACACAAAACAAATAGAAACTTTTGAGCTGAACTATAGTGCTCTGATTCCTTAAAAGGGATACGTAGGCATCTGGTCGTGGGGCTCATATTCCTTAAAAGGGATATGTATGTATCTGCACGTGTTGTTTGAAACCACGTCGCTCATTCTGTTATGCTTCCATACATGACATGACATGGCATTTTCATAAAAATCATTTTTCATATAAAAACAAAAACAAAAAATCATGCACTCACACGATGCAAGGACACGCCATTGCTCAAGCTGGGCATATCCCACCTCCCAATGCTGATGAAGAGCTTCAATTTGCACACTATGAGCAAAATCCTCAAAATATGGATTCCGTGATCATCATTAGAGCTCATTAAAATATCGAAGTTGTCCAAATGTGTCCAATTTAAGAAGAAAGATTGAGATTCGTAGAAGGGAAAGACGTCTATGATTCAGATGTTGTTGACATGTGCTTAGTGCTAGATGTGCTAACCCCATCAAATTTCAAGATGTCATATTTTGAGAAGTACAAAGGGGTTAGTTGTCCAAAAACTCATTTGACGAAGTTTATTCGGAAGATGGCCACATAATCTCACGATGATAAGTTATTCATCCATTTTTTTCAAGACAGTCTCAGTGGGGCGTTATTAGAGTGGTATATGCAACTGGAGAAAAACCATGTCCACACTTGGAAAGACTTGGCTATGTAATTCCTAAAGCATTAACAATACAACACTGATATGGCTCTGAACCATACTCAATTGCAAAATATTGCTTAAAAGAGTAATGAGTCATTCAAGGAGTGCGTCCAAAAATGGAGAGAGTTGGTTGCTCGCGTCCAACCACCAATGCTTGATATGGAACTGGTTGATAAGTTTTTAGGTACCCTGTAGAGTCCATACTTCGAAGGGATGATAGAAAGTGCATCATTAGGTTTCTATGACCTAGTGATATTTGGAGAACAATCTAGAGTAGCCTCTAAAGCCGAAAACTCCAAGGTGCCTCGAGTATCTAGACTAGTGAGAAGGATTTCTCTAGTGATTCCCAGAAGAAAGAGAAGGATGAAACTGTAACACCCTTCTAAAACCCCATAGAAATACGATATAAAGCAAAGTAATATAACATGCATATCAATTCAAGGGTGTCAGACATACTTCACACATAACAAACTCATGTCGTGCTCAATTAACACTTATTTAAATTCATGTTGTCATACGATTTCATATAGAATATAGCAACGGAATAATTCTCATTCAAACAATTAATACTTTTAGATATATACAGAATTATTAAATCAAATGCAAGCCAAAATATTCTCTTACAAGTGGGTGGTCCATGGCTCCATGCTATCAACTTCCTAAAGTCACGCTTTAAAAGTAAATATCAACCACTTCCCAAACAACTTTTGAGGAAAATAAGATAACAGTAAAATTAGCCATTACCCTAATAATGGTCCCTTGGCGTAGCATGGACACACATATAAATATTATGTCAATTCGGTTTCTATAACAGTACACTTGAAAAATTCTACACTCAAAAGAAAATTAACATAATTAGTTAATTACTATATAGTTGTGTTTAATCACATATTTTAGAAACTACCTTATTTATCCAGAACCAAAACAACATTTTGCAACCACTCACAACACCAAATTAAAAAAAGAATCACTTTAAAACCATAGTCAAATATTTCATACATCTCACATAATATTAGGAGGAATTCTTAACCCATTTCCTTGGCAAAAACAAGCATTTTATGCAATTTCGAGTGATGCGTAAGAAAGTAGGTTAAGAAATTTGCAATAGATCTATAAAAATCAATCTTATTCACTACTTTTTCTTGTTCAAGCAACAAGACGTATTAATTGTACTATTGTTTTGTAGTTCCAAATATCATATAGTTTTTACTAATAAATCATGTATTCCTGTGGGAGAAACTTTTAGTACCATTACCAGGTACTAGTACATTGCAGTAATATGAATAGACTAAACACTAGACTGAAGTGTTTTTTACTTTTCAGAAAGTAGTTTGCACTTGTCACATTGTTAAACTTAAACCAATTACTACACACTATATTGGATATTTATCTTCAAGTAATAAACATGAAACATTTGTCCATAAATATTTAATGAGTACAAAGGATGACAGAAGAGAATAACTTGAAGAAAAAGATGACACACTAAAGAGAATACAGAGGAAAGTGTAAAAAGGCTCCCTCTGTAACGAAAGAGACTTTTTAACCTAACACTTATCCACAAATCTTGATTACACAATTGAGAGAAGTTGCAAACATGCAAAATACAAAGGAAATAGTATCAGTTAGCATTGCTACTCCTGAATGATCCAAGAGCTTTAGCAGCACCTGCTCTTAAGATGAATTGGTGGTAGAAGGCCGCGATTGCCGCCCCAACAAACGGTCCAACCCAAAATATCCACTGACCACACACAAGAACAAAAATTTGTTAGAATTTGCAGTGTTATCGCCGGACTCAAAACAAAAATATGGAAAGGAAACTCACATGGTCATTCCAGATCTTTTCTTCGTTGAGGATAACAGCAGAACCAAGGCTTCTAGCGGGATTAATGCCGGTTCCGGTGACCGGGATGGTTGCCAAATGAACCATGAATACAGCAAACCCAATGGGAAGTGGAGCCAAAACCTTCACATACATAGAAAAACATTATACTAAGTGAATTAAAGTAGATACAAACATATTCGAAACACATGAATCCAAATAACTAGAAAAATATAAAGAAATGGAGTTGGGACAGATGGGACAAGCATGCATGTGAAAAACCCATGATTTTATTCTTTATTTATTAGAAGAATCTAGTAAAAAGTATTTCAAGTATATAATGTATGAACCAAAAAATTGATAATGACATATCAAGAATAAAGGTTAAAGCTGGAAATTCCAATTTGATTTGCCAGCTTTGTAGGACAATGACATAGAGAAGTCAGTTTTTCACGATACTAATCTATAAGCAGAAAACAATTTCGAGGAAACAATTAGAATCCACTTTTTGCAAGTTTGGACATGAAATTCAACCACTGCCATAAACTCAAACAAGGTAATGGGGACCTCATATTCCACAAACGCATGCTTGTGTTATATTGTCATTAACAACATCATTTCATTTGGAAATTATTATGGTGAATGAAAGGAAAAAGATATTAGCTTTACTTTACCACCCTAAGGATTCTAGGTGAACCAAAAGATGTAAGTAACCACTCAGAAATTAATTATGACTTAAAATCAAAGATGTTGACTATAAGAAGCCAAGCAAAAGAGTAGGTAAAAAATCATAAACATTGAATATTACCCATAGTATATTTTAGGCTACTATTACTTAAAAAAAAAAAACACTATTTTATTTTCTTTGCTCAGAAGCAATTTCGGATCATTGTCTTGAAAAGTAATTATTTAAAAAAACAACCAAAGTACAAAAAAGCAAGCAAGCTCAAACTTGTAAATATAATTTAACACACCTAAAAACTAAAATCTAGGAGCTATGCATTTCAACAAAAAAAAACTCTAAAGAAATGCAGATCATAAATTCTGTCTAATTGCAGTGGCAGATAGGCTTTCACGATATTGATTAGTACAGATGGTGACACAGATTATTGTCATCCCGCTGTGAGTTAATGTTTTTTTTATCATAAAAAGGGTAAGGGCACTAATAGTCATACATACACTCTTTTGGACTAGTACTATCAAACACAGCTCAACAGCACAGGCAGCTACATCATATATTCTACACAGTCCATACTTAATTCATATATGCATTTGAAAACAAATCCAGAAAAATGCAAAATGATAACACTGAAACTAGAACCAAAAATGAATTGAAAACAAAAACATACCGGCACATGAGAATCTCTAGCACTTCTCTTAGGATCAGTGGCAGAGAAAACAGTGTAAACCAAAACAAAAGTCCCAACAATCTCAGCACCTATTCCAACACTAGTACTATACCCATCATGAAGAAAATTAGCTCCACCACCATACCTATCAAAGTAAGCACTTTGAAAAGCCTTAACCAACCCAACTCCACAAATAGCCCCCAAACTCTGAGACACCATGTACATAACTGCTCTCACCAAAGACACCTTACGCGCCAATAGTAGCCCAAATGTCACTGCTGGGTTAATGTGACCCCCTACAAAAAAATATGATTAAGTTTAATTTATTTATTTTTAATAATTATTATCGAGATATATATGTGTGAGTGTCGGTTATAGCCTTAACATTAGAATGAAACAAAACTAAAGAGATGTGAAGAAAAGCAAACCTGAAATTCCAGCAGTACAGTAAACAAGGACAAAGATCATGCCACCAAAAGCCCAAGCAATACCAAGAATACCAACACCACCACACTCATCACCACCAGCTTTAACATCAGTTTGGATACTGTAACCAATCACAGTCAAAACAGTAACGTAAAGGAAAAGCAAAGTTGCAATGAACTCGGCAATAAGGGCCCTGTAAAAGGACCATTTTGTGAGTTCTTCAGCATCAATCAGTGGTGCTGGAGGAGGGTCATGGTAGTCTTTGTTAGAGAAAGAGCCACGTTCAGCAACTTCAACGTCTTTTGCCATTGGGATTACCCTTTTGAAACAACACAGTAAAACAAGAATGGAAGTTGTTAGAGAAGAGAGAAAGGAAGAAACTTGGATGATGGGGAAGTGTGGAGGTGACTATGGTTGAGGTCACCACATATATAGGACAATTTTTATTTTTGTTAATAATAACGATCTTATATATTTTTATATATTTATCTCATTAAAAAATATTAAAAAAATTTTATATATTTATCTCATTAAAAAATATTAAAATATTTTTATTTGGGTTTGAATTTGGTATTTGCTTTCACCGACCCTTAACGTCCACCACACATTGTCACACATAGCACCACCTCCCCACCACACTCACTTTTTTTTCAATTTCAACATTTTTGTCATTTTATTGTGCCTTAGAATCTTCATGAATAGGTTGGTTACTTTGCCTTCCTTTCAATCACGGATTTAGTTTACAGAATTTCTTCTTCAAACCTCTACAACTTGGGGATTATTTTTACCACATGAATCTTTTTATTTAATTGTCTTCATGTGTTTGATAAGACATGTTTAAATGTTGTTTTTTTAACTAGTTGCAGTCAACTTATTTTGAACAGATATTGATCTTAAACACTTTGATTTGACTATATCTATAGTGGTGATAAAAAAAACTTTATGGTAACGAAATTTTTAATAATTTAAAGGAAATTCTTTAGTAACTAAGTTTTTACGGATATCAATCTAATAGAAGACAAAAAGCTATTAATCTTTTATAATATAAAAGTTACATTTTCTGAAAAATATCTAACCGTCTCAAATTTCATGGGTCTAAAGTAAGAGTATTTAGTGTCTAAAATTTAATTTTTCTAACTAATAATATCATAATATTCAATTCAAACTATATATTTATTGAAATATCCTTTATTCAATTCAAATTATATATTTATTGAAATATCTTTTGCTTCTTAGGTTTTAATAGAATGATGATGTCACTTATTTTTCTTTCGTGTTAAATCAATTTATAAAATTTAACTTTTCAATTTTTTCTTTCTCTTTTTCTTTCTTCTCTCTTCTTTTTTCCCAATTCACGTTCTCTCTATTTTTCAACTTCTTTCTTTTCTCTTTGTACAAAAAATAATCAATATTAGTTGTTCTACCCCAATTTTTGTCTCTAAGATTTCTCATCATCTCATTTCACAATACATCAAGACACACATATTAGGATTGTTTCTCTCTTTATCCTATCTTTAAATTTTCTCTTGAGTGATTATCGAGCACCTTGAGTTGTGTATCTTGTACATTTGTTCTTTTAACTAACATCAATATGTGTATATGTGTTTATTTGAATATTCATATTGTAGGTGATCACAATTACATTCACCTCACCATCTAATCTAGGGTTTGATGGGTGATTCTCAATCAAATGATTCTCTAATGAATTATAAGAGCTCAGTCTTCAAGGTCATGTCTATGGCATCAAAGATTTGTGGTTCAAGGAGCCCTCTCACTTTATTTAGGTCAAGATCTCCTCAAAGTTGGTGGTGGAATTCATCAAGAAGATTCATAGGTTCATGTATTTATTTATATGCCTTCTTCAACAAGCTACATTGAGACTTAAGCTTCATCTTTGAGTGTGCTTCAAGATAACATCATTTCAAGACCTCTTATGATTCATCATGCTTTATTTAGTCAAGAAAGTTCAAAAAGATTCAAGGTTGACTCAACAAGTTTGACCTAATTGAGCAAATACTAGAATCAGTGATCACAAGTGCATAACTCTCTCAATTTTCAACATTTGGAATTGGTTATTTTTGCTATAAATTCTTATCATCATCTACAACAACCTCTCTTCACATGACAAGATCCAACTGTGCAAAAAAAATCATCAAAAGTTGAAAGGGGTTTCAAGCCCTTTTGACACCCCCTGTGCTAGGGTTTGTTGACTCCCAAAGGCCATATCTTGCTCATTTTTTGAGATTTTTGAGTGACTCTAAAGCCATGATTATCTTTAAAGGGTTCTAAACAAGCTCTCTTCAAAAGTCTAAGGCTAGTTTTGAATAGAAGATCACTAAAAGTTGAGAAAGATTACAAGTCTCCTTGAAGAGTTTTTGAATTCTAAAGTTTGACTTCAAATGATCATAACTTGGTCAATTCTTATCTCCTTGATCTTATTCTTTTTCCACAATAATATTTGGGATCTCTACTATAAATTTGTTTTTATGTGTAAGACTTGAGAATGCTTGGAAAGTGGTTGAAGAATTGAAAAGATTATAGGTCTTTTGTGATTTTCCCCAAATTTGTTCATCATCTTCCAAAGACCATAACTCTTTCAATTTTTATGATTTTTGAGTGATCTCAATTTCATAATTCAATTCAAGAGGTATACATCATGTCATATTCAGATATCAAGACCAAATTTTAAGTAGAAAGTCATTTAATTTGAAGAACATTATAGGTCATTTTGAAGTTCAACACTTATAATTTTTCTAAGTACAAAACATCTATGCGTTTTTCACAAATTCAATTAGACATAACTTTTTGCTCAAGTATACAAATTATGTATTTATTGGCTCATCGTAAAGATTTTAACCTTGTCTTTCAAATTCCTCAAGAACCATTCCATAAAGGTCCCTGAGTAGTGAGATATGCATTGTTGAAGTTGACTCCATAAAATATGTTTTTGCTTCAAGTTAGAATTTTTTACCACGAGTAAACTTGGATTAAAGGGAAAATTACTCAAGGTTTAGTTGCTAAACATGTGTAACTAATTGTCTAGATGCGTTTTGACAAGAATTGCACTTGATATGAGGTCGTTTTGAGGCATTTCAAGTCACACATTTGGCATGATCACAACTGGATCGGTTTGCACGATTTCCCCATAATTCATCTCGTTTCTCATCATCATTCACTTCCCTATAAATACAGGGTTATATCCCACTCATTTGACAAGCTTTAGAGAGCTAAAGAAGCCTTATTGAACTCACCCTATAACTCATAATTCTGCAACTTTGAATTCAATTCAAAAGCATCTTTCGACCCAATTTCTTTGCTGCTTCTTCATCCTTGAACTTCACTGAAGCTAACAGAAGAAGAACCAAGCCTTGAGGTGCCCTTAACGTGCTAGCCAAGTCAAGTTTCAGAGCTCTGAATTTGAACTTTAACAGGTAGATTCCTCCATCAATTCTCTCCAAACTTGTTGCTACAATGTAGCTCTCATCACTCTGATACTGATCACATCATTAGTTTTAAATTGGGAGTAAGTTTTGCTCATGAATTTTCAAATCTCTTTCCAACTTTTTTCTTCTAGTTTTCTTCAAATCGACTGAGCTACGAGTTAAATAAATTTTTTCACGAAGGTACAATTGTCTTCGTCCTGATGAGAGGAATCGAAAGGCACCGGTCTAAATCTCTAATTTTTCCATTTGAGGGACCTGTAAATCGAGTGATTTGGTTGACTTTGTCAATGATCTGAAGGTTGAAGATAATGACATGGACGTCTTTAACCAATTAGAGCTCCGCGCGTGTCTTGTTTTATCTGTTTTTAACATAAAGGATCTTGTGTGTTATTCACTAATGACCATATTATGCACGGCGCGCCAGATCTATTAGATTTGATTACTAACGTGTTTTGACATTGATCCAATGGTCTACATCTTTTTGGTTTTATTTATATTTTCTAATTTTATTTTTTATTTGTTTTAAACTTCAAAAATTCATAAAAAGTTCATTTCAACTTCTAAAAGTCTTTAAAAAATTCCCAAAATTACTTTTGAGTTTTCTCTTTCTGATTCTTATTTTTTCATAATTTTATTTTATAATTTGATATTGTTTTATGATTTTTCACTTTATTTGAACTGTTTTAATTGTTTAAAAATACTTTTCTTGATTTTTAAATTCTGAAAAAAATATGGAAGGATCTAATGACCTTTTGACAAATATTAGTGACCTCATTTTATTTTTATATCTGATTTTACTATTTTTTACAAATTTTGGTTTACTTTGCTTATTCCTTTTAAAAATAGTTTCTGACTTTAAAAAAGTCTAAAAAATTTGTCAACACTTGTTGACTTGTGTTTGACATCTGATATGGTTTTAGGATTTTTATTTGGTGTTTTAATATATTTTGTGTATTTTATCAATTATTTGTCTTTTATTAATCATTTAAATTTTTTATTGAATATTATTTGGGTGTTATTTTGGGACAAGTTCCTCAACCTCATTGGATCTTGGGTGTTGATTGGTTGAAAAATCAAATCCACCAAAATGGATGAATGATGATGATATTTGAAACTCTAATTTCATCTGGTACATCCCATCCCTCTTCATCTTATCCCTTTCTTACTTGTGATACATGTTGTTGGAGAATAATCTACATATCATTTCTCTAACATGTGGTACATAGATTTCTATTGACCGTCCTCAAAATAAGTGTGACTTCTACATAAGTCCACTTACGATTGCTTAAAATAGCGTCAAATTTGTCCTGATTCGAGAAATGATCATTCCTGACCCACACCTAAGTTTGCAAGCCCAAGTATGTTAATTTGAAATATTTGATCCAATAACCTTGAGGTTCATTGTTATGAGGCTTTGATCTTATCAATCCTCTAATGAACTTCATAAACTTTGGTCTAAGTGAATCATTTAAACATCGTTGATCATATGTGGTTGCCTTGAGTATTTGAAATGAATCATATACTTGACAAAAAGCAAATGAAACTTGTTGTTGAGAAGCTTTGATTTTACCAATCTTTTAATGAGTTTTCAAATGCAAGTTTCAAGATGGTCATTCAACTAACCTCTAACTTCTAATTCATTAACAATTGACTTTACTTTGTGCTTTTACTCTGTGATTTTACTTTATGCCCTTTAATTTATGCCTTTACTTTTATGCACCATTTACTTTAGCATTTACATTTGATGCTATTTTCATCTTTCCTCACTTGAGCATTTATCTTTGCTCACTTGGCTTTTATCTTTATGTCATTTTATTTTTGCTCACTTGAGCATTTATCTTTATGTCATTTTTATTTTGCTCACTT